GTCCTCTGCGTCGCTGCGGCGCTGGCTCGGGCACTGGCGGCGGTGGCGGTGGCGGCAGCGGCGGTGGCGCTTCCGTGGCTTGAGCGTTCAGTGACTAAAGTTGATGCTGAATGTCAAAGACCAAAAGCGACTTCAGCAGTTCGAAGTGCGAAGCATCAAATTTCTTCAGACAACTGCCGATCTGTAGCCCGCTCAGCCTGCAGAACAAGGGAACAAGCACTGACGACCATGAGACATATACGGACTCGCACAGTATAGCACTGCTTCGTTAGCGCGCAATCTCTGGGCGCACTCTTTTTTTTTGCGCGAGTCACAGGTGGACACATTGTCCATGTCCCACGCCAGCACCGTTGTGCACACGATAGTGCAAAGTAGCAGTCGCTGCCGCCACATGGATCAGAAGCATTGACATGTGCAAGCGGCTGCGTCTTCACTTGTGAGACCTCCTCTTCTGCTTAGAACTCTTTGCTTCTGGAGCAATGTCTGCGTTATCTGCCTTGCGCTTTCGTCCGGCTGTCCGAACAACTGGAATGTTGCGCAGGTCTACGTTGCCCTCACCTTCGAGGGCCTTGATGAACGCGACGTGTTCACAATCGCCATGCAGCAGGAACTCTAGACACGTGCACACTACTGATGGAAAGGCTGTCTGCAACCTGCGCCTGAGGCGTGGCCAGCAGGAATCTGGCAGATGCCCTTTCATCACACAACAGTGCTTGTTCAGGTAGAACTGCAGCGCTGGAAGCTCCAAAGACTCCTGTCCATTCTCGGACTTCAGGATGCCTGCCTGCAAGAGCTGGTTTTTGAGGGCCGCGCCATCCTTGGCGATCAGGCCAACCACTCTCTCCGCTGTCTCCTTTGTGATCGTGGCTTGCGCTGGAAGCACGTCCCCAACTTTTGAACAGCGCATGACATAGAAGACGGTTGTGCCGTCCTTGCCGGACGCGTCTGTGGTCGTTGCGTCTGTGCGCCAATACATCTTGTAGTGGTTGCACTGGCCGCAGAGCTTGCGCCCTCGCTCCGTGTAGAAATCAACGGCCGGAGAACGCCCGGCGGTGCGCAGCGCTTGTCCATTTAGAAGTTCTTGCGCCGGGTACTGAGGCCAGGTCTGGAAGACACGGGACTCCTCCCACTCGAACTTCTTCGCCCAGTCGTCGTGAAACAGTTTCTCCATGCGGGCGAAAATTGCCCGAGGGTCAGAGCGAACGCTGCTGCGGACTGCGTCTTGCCAGTACGCGTGGAAGGACTCCAGGGGCTGTGTGCCTGACCCACTGCCAGGGTATGTTCCGGTCACACCGGCCCAAAACCCTGCAAACCAGCAAGAGTTGGAATTCCACACGGGTTCTCCGCACCAGAACTGCCCTTGCAAGCTGGCCCTCTTCATCTGGTCGAAATAAGTGGATTTTAAATACGCGCAGGCATCTTTGCTCACTTGCTCTAGCCAAGCGAAAGTCAAATGCCAGACTGCGTCGAAGAGGATAATGGTTGGCATCACTCGGCTGGCCTGGATGATGGCATCCAATCGGTCAAACGCTGTCTCCGTTTTGTCTTTCTTGCGACCTTTCTGCCTTGGCACAGGTTTGACACGAAGCGGCACTATTCACTATTTCCCACTCCATGCGCCTTGAAAAACAGATATCTGAACGAACCTGGCCCAACTACGTCGTTCTTCTTCGCTCTACCCTCATTGCACCACGTGGGCAAACATGAGAACGCACAAGCACTCAGAAGACGTTTTGTGCCAGACCTGACGTGAGGTGGAGGCTGGCGCACACGCAGAAAAACTGAGGCCGGTACACACGGGTGACTCCCATTTTCTGCTTGAGCACGCTGTAGGATGCCCGCCGCATGTGAGGGTAGTCATCACATGGGCGTGCGGAAGGAAATACCTTGCGCCGGGCTGCCTCTATGCCCTTCGCATAGTCCTTGTGCACTTGCCAGACCTGGGTTTTCAGATCCAGCCTGCAGCATTGCGCGCCGATCTCGCAGGCCGCAGTGAAGAACTGCGCGACGTTTTCCTCCGCTTCTGAATTCACCAGCGCTTGCATAAATGGCTCCTGTGTCAGGGTGTGCACCTTGGGTCTGCTGCTGACACGCGCGCGGCTGTCGCGCGTTTTCGTGACATGTTCACTCGACACAAGGAAGGACAGCGTCAGCACGGAGTAATTGTTACAAAGAATTTTTTGCTTGCCGTCTACGGCCAGCTTCACGACCTTGTTTCGAGCAGCTTCTGCGCGACGCAACATGCCCGGGCATGTCCAGATTGCACAGACGCGCTCCTCCTGGAACACAGGATTGGGTAGCACGATGAGTTTGTGCAAAGGTTGCGTGCGCCACTGGGCAATGTCAGCAATGAATGGACTAGCCGCAGCGTACATCTCTGCCGCCAAGAACTTTTTGGGCTTCGGCGGAAGCGCAGACAGTTTCTTTCGAGTCCTGCCAACCCAGGCATGCAGCTGCGCGTCAGTGCACCGCAACGGCATGTTGGCTTGCTTGAACACTGCTCGCACCATCTTCGCTGTGACGTGGGCTCCTTCATCACTGTTGTTTGCTAACATGTGCTCCTCGGCTACCGTCCAGAGGGAGCCTCCGGAGGGTTTCTGCAACGTCCCATGCTTTCCCCGCGCACGAACATGGAGATGTGGGCCAGCATCCCCAAACCGAAAGGATGCCCGAAGCTGCCGTGTGCAGCCCTTGCACGCTTCCGGCTTGCATGCAGCCTTCAGCCGGCGCGTCGGACCCTCCACACCCAAATCCACGAAAGTGTAGATGCCGGGATCCCGCCTTGCTCCGAGCACCTGCACAACTTCGGATCGCAAACATGTGTAATTCTCAACTGCCTTGCAAGGCTCTCCGTCGAAAAGAACCTCCCACGGCAGTTTGGTTTCGGATGCACTGTCTGCCACTGGCGCTTTCCACGCCTCTGTTCCGGCTGCTGTGTCGTCCTCCTCAAGCAGGGCCGCTGTCGCCCCGTCTCGGCACGAGGCTGGGGCCGTCTTGCGGTGCGGAACTTGCCCTAGCTCTCCATCCTCTGTTCCGGAGGCCTCATCCGGCTTTGGCAGAGCCGCCCTCGCCACGGCTTGCCGGGCATTGTCGCGCCGGTCCTTGCACGGAGCTTCCGACTTCCTGAATGGTGTGGGGTTCTGGCCATTGCTGTCGATGTACGGAGCTGCCTTCGATGTCTTGGGCGGCGTGGGCTTGGGGCCATTGCTCTCGATGGCGGGCATGGACGACGCGGGATGCGGGCCATTGTCTTGAGCCGGACCCGCTGCTTCCTCCGTCGCCATCTGCGCCCTGTCCAATGGCTGCGGCGTCTCCGTGTCCACGCCTTTGCAAGAAAGCTCAGCATCGGCAGGAGGGGTGTTGGTCAGAACATGCAAACCAAAGAGCAGCGATGGTACCCCTGCACGACGTAGCTGCTGTCTGCACGAGTCTGGCAATCTCGCATGGTGCCTCTTTATGAAGACCGGCAAGTCTTCCTTCGCACCGTGTACAATTTCGCCGAAGCCGCGCAGGCGCAAGTATTCCAGGGCTGAGCGGTAGGCCTCTTCCGCTTCTCTGCGGTGCTCGCAAGGCTTCCCCTCTTGCAACCCCCTGAACATGGGACCAGCTCGCTCAGCCACCCTCGCGTTGATGCTTACGCCGCACGAGCCTTTGAGGAGAAGCAGCGCTGCAGCATTCCACCGATCGTGGTTCGTGCCAGTGGATGGTCGCTTTTTGGTCCACGTTCGATTTCTTATGTCCGCGGACAGCACGCATGCGCCGTAGAGGAAACGGTACGTGAAGAAGTCCATGGAAAGCTTCAAACAATCGAGCGGAATCGTTGGGCTCAGCACGACAGCTTCGTGTCCCACACTGCCCAAGGCATGTTGCCACAGTTGGCTTAGTACACTCGACCAAAAGCTTACACTGGCCAGCCAGTAGCCGGACTTGTTCAAGCACGAAGCAAAGGTTTCGTCCACGTTCAGGGTTCGTCTCAAATCGGAACACATGAGCCGGAAACGATACACCGCCTCCTGACCCCTGTCACACGCAGACCAGGCAAGCAGCGGGCTGTCTGTGGGCAAAGGTGCCTGCGGTCCGAGATGCTGCAGAACCAAGCGAAAGCATGCCTTCAATAACGGCAAAGCTAGTTCCGTGCCGAACTGTGCAGTAGCGGGCGGTCCGGGCTCGCCTGCGGATGCGAAGGAAAAAGTGAAGCGCCCCGCCAGTCCGATGCTGCACTTCTCCTCAGCACAGGCCCACCAGCCTGGTAGGAGAGAGCATTGCTGCAAAATGATGACCCCAACATTGGTTCGGTCGTCTTCTGCAGCATTGCCTAGGTCTTCCGCGTTGTTCCGTCGCCGCGCCTGTCTGTCCACGGCCGTTTCCCACGGCACGGGTCCACCTGGCCAGGCCAGCAAACCTTTATGTGTGGGTTAGGGTGAAGTTTTAGCTACCATCCTCTTATTGCAGCTCTGCGACCCTACACAAGCCCGCTTAGGGATTGCTTCCTGCCTGTGGCGGCATCCAAATACCTTTGCCAATTGATGTGCGTGGACTGTGTCCAGGTTGCCGAAGATGGCCAGGCAGGGCACAGCACCGGGCCTCCCTCACCGGCCCCAATGAACTGATAACCTCCCGTGCTGCGAAGCCGATCAACAGCTGCGGCATGCGTACCCACGGGCTGAACATGAAACCCGTCTGCAGCCGTCCCTGGAGCTAGCTCCGGGTTTTCCCGCAGCACCTCCTGCAGAGCTTCCTTCAGTGGATCCAGCGTTGGGCTTTTCCCGGAGCCTGGAGATGCCGTACCCACCGCCCAACAGCGCGCTCGACATGGGAAGCCCGCTGCGTCGTATGCCACGTGCTTGTTCAGCAAACTTCCCAGCAGGGCATAGAATGAATCCACGCAGAAAACAGCCGGGAGGCCGGTCGTGCGCGACCAAGCTTCGAGCAAGACCGCCAAAGGGAAAAAGGTTGTTCTCCACAGGGGCATTGCTACTTGCACAGCGTCCGCGGCGACGAGGTTTTGCGTCGCGTAGTCTTGCACCGCAACACGAAGGGATTCGCACTTGTCCTCCAAGCTGGGGTCTAATGTTTCACACGAGAACAGCGGCAGTGCCTGCAGTTGCTCCAGGCATGCCTGGACAGTCCCAGTCGCTGTTCCACTCTGATAAGCTGTCAGCAGCGCCGCGACCGCTGCTTCGAACTCGGAGTGCCCGTCACACTCACTGGGCAGGAGGTCGCTCATGTGTTTGGCACGAAGGGGAGGTGCTTCGGTTGGACGAGCATCCGCAATGCCGGCGGCGGGCCCTGGCTCAGCATCGCACGGTTCTGCCTCCGCAGGCCCATCAGGCAGCGCATGACCGCTGCCGGCATGCCTCTTGTCTCCCGGTGTGGTTTCTTTGCTGTAGAAGGCCAGAATAACGTTGCGGTGCACGGACTCCGGAAGCGTTGAGACCGTTTCCACAATGGCATCATCACACCGCTTCCAGCAGCTATGATCCTTCACCCAGGTAACGAAGTGCCCGGACTCGGTTGTGTCACCGTCTGCAGCAAGATGCTCCACCAGCGCAGTGACAACGAAGTCACTCCCCGCAACCGCGGGGACTTTGTGCTCGCACCTCACGGCACCGGAGTGCCGATGCAGTCCCTGCTCGTCGATATCGCCTCCTCGAGGGATTCCAAGAAGAAGCGCACGCGCCGTGCCTGTGATCGATGCCTGCTCTCGACCTCTCCGTGTGGAACCGCATGTTTCGCAGCGCAGCGTCACTGCTTCAGGGGTCTGATACCGGACAAGCAAGTCCGATATACTGCTGTCTTCCCTCGCACTGCTCTCCAGCAGCAACACGGCCCAACTCTCCGACGATGTGCGAGAGCTTACCTCCAAGCCGTCCTCGCAGTCCGGATTGGAGCAAGTATGTCGAACTGTGCGCTCGACCAGCGTTCCAAAGATGTTCTGCCGGCAGCATCTCCTGACATCCTGGCAGCAACGGCAGCAACTAATCTGACAGCGTGTGACACTGCAGTTACGTATCATGACCCTACACCCCCCCCCCCCCCCCCCCACCCAACTGCCCAAAACTTGGACTGCATTCCTTGCAAGTTACGGAACACTAATGAACTGCACAGCCGTGCCTGCTGCTGCTCCTGCAACACGTCACACACGGCAGTTGCAAAAAGCACTGCAGAGTCCTGCCGACCAACATCCAGCCCAAACTCCCGGACCCAAGGCAGCCAGCCCTCCATGCATGCACGATTTGCCCGGCCGTTGTCACGTGCCCGCATCGTGCGTCTCAGCAAGCACCACAAGCAGCCCTGCTCGCAGCGCATGGCTGCGCATCGCTGCAGCAACGACTTTATGTCGGGCAAATGCAGCAGTGCCTGCAGCACAGCATTGACAAAGCAGGTGTTGCCGATGTTGGGGAGCCCAGTCTCGGTGCGAGGCTGCCTTTGCGCTGGAACTTGCTTTCCTCGGCCCGGCCTCGCACGCGACGGCAAATCTGTCTTCTTGAACCGCACGATTGCCCACCCAATTGGCCCCCACGGCTTGAAAAAAGCTGCCGGCTCGTCCAGCGGCTGCACGTCCTCCAGCCAAAGCGCAAAGGTCCGCGTGTACGGAGGGGCATCGGTTTCAAGT